TTTTCCCTTTTTTTCCTTTTCCATATTATTTACATCGTATGGGATGATATTATACAACTTCCTGTAATTATCCACAAACACCTTTGCGATCTCTTTATTTGAGTGGACCAATTCTCCCTTGGGGCTTTTTATTTTATCTATATAGTTCCTATTTTTTTTTTTCCTTAAGGTTCTCATTAGATATTTTCCTGGCCTATCTCCCCATTTGTAATTCTCACTTAGCACTTTGTTATAAACTCTCCTTCTCTCCTCTTCCATCAGAGTTTCCAACTCCTCTTTCTTTTTAGTTATCTTCTGCTTAATTTCTTTTACCATGCTATTTTTGTGTATCTGTTCTAGCTCAGATATATCCTTTAAGAACCCACTAATTTTTTTTCTCTTTCCTTTCTCTTTTCTTTCTTGCCCCAATAGCAATCAGGATTCCTCTTATATATGTCTTGTGAGACTCCCATACTGTTGCCCTAGACACATCCTCTGTCTCATTCTCTCTAAAGAATCTCTCTATTTCTTTCCCAATCCTCTGTGCAATATCCTTGTCCATAAGAAGTGCTTCATTCAGCCTCCATCCTAACCCTTCTGTTCTCCTCCTTCCCCATCCCATCCTCAATACAACAGGGGCATGGTCCGAAAGCGTCATTACTCCTATATCTGCTTTAACCATTGACTCTATAAATTGATGTTCTATCAATATATAGTCCAGCCTTGAATACGTCTCATGTGCATTTGAGAAGAATGTGTAGTCTCTATCTTTCATATGCAAGATTCTCCATGCGTCTACCAATTGGCACTCATGGATCACCTTCTTTAATAGTCTCAAAGATCTACTCCCCTCTTGCTGCACATAAGAAGTTGTATCCTTTTGTGGATCCATGCAAAAATTAAAATCTCCCGCCAATATTAAACAACCCTCTTTAAAATCCATCAACTTTTTTAACACACCCTTCAAGTACGTCTCTGGTTTTTTATTTGGACAATATATATTAGCTACTGTGCACTCCACCTCTTGTATTTTACCTAAAAAAACAATATATCTCCCCTCTGGGTCCACTTTTCTATCCTTCAGTTCAAATCTTATATTTTTTCTGAACCCTATTGCCACCCCTTTAGCTCTCTTAATCGGGGAATCTGCATAATACCATGTTGGGTAATCTCTAGATTTCAACTTCACCTTAGATTCTATCTCAAGATGTGTCTCCTGCAAAAAAAACCACTGAAACTGCTTGATGATGTAGTTCCTTAAATAACCTAAATCTCTTCCCAGGACAATTTAACCCCTTTACATTATAAGTAATGACTTGTAATTCTTCCATCCTTTTTATATCCTTCTTTTTTCCTTTCCAACCGGAGATCGCATAACTATCCTCCTTCTCTTTTCCCTTGCTTTACTACCTCTCTCTATCCTGCAGAGTGTTACCCTTATTTTCCATTTCCCTCCTGCCCTCGCCTCCCCCCAACCTCCCCCCCTCCACCCCCCCCCCCCCCCCCCTCCCACACCCCGTCCCAACCCCCTTAACCTCACCCTTCCCCTCCCCCTCCCCACCACTAGGCATCTAATATACCTACTAATAATTTGTGGTTCTAAGAACCACTGTTGATTATTTTTTGGGGTTGAACTCTGCCCATGGGCAGCTCCTCCTCCTTCGCCCTCCTCCCCAACTCTTCCCATCCGTTATATCATTTCTTTCTTTACTTTTAACATTCCGCGGTTTCACCCCTAGGGAAAATCTCAAAGGAGTCCCTATTTAGACAGTAGTTAATTCTACTTTCTCCCTCTAACAGTCTGCCATTCCTCTTGTATTGTCTCTCCTCCTTTATTTTCTTCTTCCCATCCAGGGATCTCCATCCTCTGCAACTCAAGTTTTTCACAAAAATCTCTCATATCTTCTGGGAATCTCAGGTAGGCTGTTATCCCATTTTTCCACCCAATCAGGCAAATTGGGTTTCCCCATCTATAGAACAACTTCTTTTTTCTCATCTGCTCTGTCAGTGGTTTCAAAGTTCTTTTTCTCCACAAAGTTTCTGGTGTAAGGTCTGCAAAGATCTAAATGTCCATTTCGCCATATTTAATCATTGTTTTCCCTTTAATCTTCCTCCAGATCTCTTCTCTGTCCCCATATCTGTGGAATTGAACTATTACATCTCTTGGTTTTTCCTTCCCACCGCTTTGAAATTTTCCTTTTCTCCAAACGCCATCTGTTTTAATCACCTCTGACGCAGCTCTATTCAATATGGAATTTAAAATTTTACATATTTCTTTTTGTAATATTTCCCCTTCTATAGTCTCTGGGATTCCTCTCAGCCTTAGGTTGTTCTTCCTGTCCCTATTTTCTTGTACTTCCAGTTTATACAGCAACTTCACTTGCATTTTCTCCATACTTTTTACTTTTTCCTCTAATTGAGATATATTCTGGGCCTGATATTTTATTTTTCCTTCCATTTCCTCCACTCTTGTCAGCACCTGCCCCAGATCCTTCTGGATAGTTGCCATTTCATTCTTTATTATCTTTTCTAAGGCCTCAAACATTTCTGCCATCTCTTTTTTATTTGGTGCTTGTAGGTCACTTTCCATTTCTCTCCCCTCCGCCATTTCCGATATCTGCTGGTTAGTGACATCCAAGCCCAATGATAATCTAGGACTTTTTTCCAGACTGATGTCCCCCTCTCTTTTCCCATTTGTACTTTGTGACCTTTCTGGGGTTATATTTCCCTGCGATGTATATTTTTTAATTGTTCCTGATTGGGACCCTTTAAGCCCACTTCCTTTCATGCTCTTATTCTTCATGTCTTCTATAGGATTCTTTTATTTTTCCATGTGATATTAAATAATACAATTCTATAATAGGGTCCCCTTTTTGCCTGTTAGATTATTCTCTAGTTTTCCTGCTTCAGTTGCTAAATTAATCTCTCTTTCCAGATACCCTGGGGGTCCCCTCTTTCTCTTCTCTTTTGTTCTTTTTTATGTTGTATCAGAAGCAATAAACAAATACAGAGGAAATGATAAGCCACGTTTTTTATGAGTTATTTTTCAATTTTCAGCAGCCTCCACTCACCCAGCTCACCCCTCCTTCTCCTCGGTGTGGTTCCAACTTGCTGGCTTCAGATCCAAACGATTTGCTTGGGGATTCCACAGGGTCATTTCCTTTAATTTTTCCCCCTCTTATATCTTCTCCCCTAGGGGTGTCCTTGGTTCCTGGATCAGCAGGGGTATCCGTTTTTTTTTTTTTTTTTCCTTCGGTGCAGGTACAGCTAGGGGGGTACTCGGAGAAGCCGCCTTGTCTCTCCCTGCCTCTTGTGAGATGCCAGCCGGCTTTCTCCTTTCCCAACGCTCCTTTGAGGCTGGTCACGTGGTCACGCCACTCTCCTGTCACCTCGGCAACCCGGCTTCTCGGCTCTCTCATTTGCCGCGGTCCGGGTTGCCGGGCAGACCAGCCCGCACCAACAGCTCCTCTCTCTCTCCGCACCAGGGCTCCACTTTGCCGTTGAGGTCCCCACTCGCCAGGTACCTCTTCAGCCGCTCATGCCTCTTCTTGGATGGGGTTGCTGGGGAGGGTTTAGGCGGAGGAGTCCTGTCGGAGAGCTCCTATCTCATGCTCTCCGCAGCCGCCATGTTCAGGCTCCTCCCCTGGTCTTCTCTTTTTTCTCTTGAAGGAGTTTCCCATCTATTTTCTTTTGCTGCTTGTTTTTTTCCACAAAGCTTTCTCTTCTCTTCTATTCACAATCTTATCCCACATGATTGCCTGATTAGCATCAAACTAATCTGGGTACATCAAACTTTTGCACTGTGATCCATATACTATATCAAATTTGGTGCAGTTGTTGTTGATACCTTTGTGCACTTATTTCTATATTTATTCTGTAATTTGCAAATAATTCGTCTTTTACATCAATATGCATACTGAAATAGAAGATTCATGACAGCCCCAGTAGGACATATCTAGGAATGAAACTAGCAATTTATTTTATTAATTATAGGATTTACATGTATCCATGAATATACGTACCTGTATACATGAACTGAAAGAACTGTATTGTCATCTGAGTAGCTATATCTGCTATTTTCTTAGCTAGTGGTTGCTTACACTGTGATGTCTTATTGTGTGCATCATACTCAATGAAATGCAAGTCTACTCAAAAACAAAATGTAAGTATTGTATAGATGTTAGTATTTACAGCACACATGCCTGGAAAATTCCAGAGCTCCAGCAGGGCTATCTTCTGATTTATGACCCACTTCACTTCCACACACTGTCCTATTCAGCTTTAGACCTAAACATAATATTGATGTGCATTTGAAAAACCTTTGCAGAGCTAATTGTCTTGCTAAATTGCTTGTTCATTCATTCTGTGCAAATGGGGCAAAGTCAAATTTTGCTAGTCTATTTTCTTCCCAGAGATATTAACCACTTCAAGTCCAGATTCTTTCACCCCCTTCCAGTCCAGGCCAATTTTCAGCTTTCAGCACTATCACACTTTGAGTGACAATTACTCAGGCATGCAACACTGTACCCATATAAAATTTGTATCCTGTAGACTGATAGAGCTTTCTTTGGTGGTATTTGATCCCCATTTTTTTATTTTTTCTATATAAATGGAAAAATACAGTAAATTTTGAAATAAAATAATTTTTTGCTTACTTTTTGTTATAAAATTTTGCAAATAGATATAGTATCTCACAGAAGTATATCTTTTCATGTGACAACACTGAAGAAATGACACTTTGCTACAATGTAAAGTAGTGAGTGTACAGCTTGTACAACAGTGTAATGTTGCTGTCCCCTCAAAATAATTGAACACACAGCTATTAATGTCTAAACCACTGGCAACAAAAGTGAGTACACCCCTAAGTGAAAATGTCCAAATTGGGCCCAATTATCCATTTTCCCTCCCCAGTGTCATGTGACTCATTAGTGTTACAAGGTCTTAGGTGTGAATGGGGAGCAGGTGTGTTACATTTGGTGTTATAGCTCTCACTCTCTCATACTGGTCACTGGAACTTCAACATGGCACCTCATGGCAAAGAACTCTCTGAGGATCTGAAAAAAAGAATTGTTGCTCTACATAAAGATGGCCTAGGCTATAAGAAGAAGATTGCCAAGACCCTGAAACTGAGCTGCAGCACGGTGGCGAAGACTATACAGGACAGGTTCCACTCAGAACAGGCCTTGTCATGGTCAACCAAAGAAGTTGAGGGCACAAACTCAGCATCATATCTAGAGGTTGTCTTTGTGAAATAGACATATGAATGCTGCCAGCATTGCTGTAGAGATTGTACGGGTGGAAAGTCAGCCTGTCAGTGCTCAGACCATACACTGCACACTGCATCAAATTGGTCTGCATGGCTGTCGTCCCAGAAGGAAGCCTCTTCTAAAGATGATGCACAAGAAAGCCTGCAAACAGTTTGCTAAAGACAACCAGACTAAGGACATGGATTACTGGAACCATATCCTGTGGTCTGATAAGACCAAATTAAACTTATTTGGTTCAGATGGTGTCAAGAGTGTGTGGCTGCAACCAGGTGAGGAGTACAAAGACAAGTGTGTCTTGCTTACAGTCAAGCATGATGGTGGGAATGTCATGGTCTGGGGCTGCATGAGTGCTGCAGGAACTGGGGATCTACAGATCATTGAGGGAACCATGAATGCCAACATGTATTGTGACATACTGAAGCAGAGCAAGATTCCCTCCCTTCGGAAACTGGGCCGCAGGGCAGTATTCCAACATGATAGCGACCCCAAACACACCTCCAAGACGACCACTGTCTTGCTAAAGAAGCTGAGGTTAAAGGTGATGGACTGGCCAAGCATTTCTCCAGACCTAAACACTATTTGAGCATCTGTGGGGCATCCTCAAATGGACAGGCTGCTGTACACTCACACACTGCAGGATCACTTCTCTCTGCTCTCACAATGAGAGCAGAGAGAAGCGATCTTTACTTTCAGTTTCATTGTTTATTATGTGACTGCTGTGATTGGAACAGTATTATTCTTATGGACAGTGACATTCCACATTCTGTATCAGGTGGAAAGTTTTGTTTTGGTGTTCTCAGCAATATACGTTCCATAGGGGCTGGAGAATTTGAAGATGGACTTTTTAGGTCACCAGCAGCTAGATCCAGTGATTGGTCCTTACACCCAGAAGTGTTTCAGCAGATATGTTACAAGTGGGTGACTCTGTATGTGGATCTGATTTTTTCCAGGTTCAACAAGCAAACTGGACAGATTTTTAGACATAACAAGAGATCCAAGAGCTTTTCTTTGTGGACAAGATAGTAACCATGCAAGCTTACTTTATTCTGATATACCCCTTTCCCCTGCGTTTACTGAGCAGAATGAAGAAACAAGGCATTCCATTAATTCTGGTTGCTCCAAATTGGCCATAGAAAATGTGATACTTGGAAATGACCATATTAGTGGCAGACACTCCATTGACCCTTCCTTCATGGCCAGACCTACTTTCATAAGCATCGATAGTCCATACTGCTTCACAGTCACTGGATTTTTGAGACCTAATTTTTAAGAGACTGGGCACTTTCTGATTCATAACAACTATTCTAGAAGCTGCAGTAGAAAGTTATCTTCTACAAGGGTCTACCATTGCACATGGAAGTCATATTTTGCATGTTAAATACTTGCACCCTAGGCAATGCGAATTATAGCATGTCTTAGCATTTATCCAATCTGGGCTGGATCATTCTTTGGATCTGAGTATTATTAGAGGGCAGATTTTGGCTTTTTCAGAAGCTGTTGGTTTTACATTTGCTGGTAAAGAAATTTGTCTCCTCCTATACATAAACCTTTTGCACCAAGGGACCCAACCTAGTGTTGGCAGCTCTCCAACATTCTCCTTTGGAACCTCTGAGTAGCATCTATCTCTCTGAGCATACCAGAACGGTGGTCATCTGGTGGTCATTACTTCAGCTTGAAGTGTATTGGAATTATCAGCCTTGTCTTGTAAAGTGCCATTTTTGATTCTACACAAATATAAGGTTGTCCTAAGGCCTAGGCAGGATTTATTGTCTAAGGTTAATTCATCATTTTACATTAATCAGGACATCATCTTACCTTCTTTCTGTCCTGACCCAAAACAGCCAAAATAACACAAAAGAAGTGGCTTAACACAGTTTGAGCTATAAGAGCATATATCTCAGCAACAGATCAGATTCATTGTTTATTGAAGGGGTTACAAAAGGGTCAAGCAGCCTCTCACTTTACAATTGGTATATAAATCAGGCAAATTATTATTCAGGCCTATAACCTGCAGGGGGAAGTTCATCCTTTTCCAGTAAAAGTGTATTCTATGAGGTGAATAAGTATATCTTGGATGGTCATTATTAAGCTTCAGTTTCTCAGGCCTGCAATTTGGCTTTTTGGTCTTTGGTACACATCTTTATAATGTTCTATAAGATGGATGTTTAAGCATCAGCTGTTGCAAGTTTTGGATGTAAGGTCCTTCAGGCAGTCATGTAGTAGGGCCTGTTCTCACCCCACAAAGTACTGCTTGGGGATATGCCAATAGTAATGATTAGAAAATCCTGTGTCCTGGGATTTTCAAGAAAAAAAAACAAGATTTTTTTTACTTACCTGTAAAACCTTTCTGTGAAGTATTTTACAGGACACAGGGTTCTCAGCAATCTGTGTCCTATTTCTTGCCTCTAAAAAGGGAGTCTGCTAAACTGGGAGGGGTTATATATCTTGGCTAAGGCCGTCCCCCTTTTTCTCATTGAGTGTGCATTCACCAGAAGGTGGCAGTATATAACCCAACAGTAATTATTAGGAAGCCCTGTGACATACAGTACTTCAAGGACACATAGCAGCCATGAATCTTTTCCCTCCTTCCCTCCTTCCCTTCAGGTGTTGATATCAGCCATTTCTATGGAATTATAATGTGGCCTTTTCCTCCTACTCAAGGATCTCAGCCAAATTGTTTGGTCTGATAATGCTCAATTTCCTTCAACTTTCCAAGAGAAAATAGCATGTATTCTGTAATTGACTGGTAATGCTTTTTTTGGCCTGTGCTACCCAGCTGTCATTGTTTTGATCCAAATTTCAAGCTAGCACCATTATTTTGCAAATAAGGCTGTTTACTACCCCTCACCAGTATGTGGAATGAAATAACGCAGCAGGAGACAAAGGAGAAACAAGAGGAGGAGGAGTGTTGGGGTGCTGGTGGTTAGGAAAGGATGGTTGGAATGCTGGAAGTAAGAAGGCAATATGGAAAGCTTCAATGAGTTTTATCCTTCCCATTTAAAAAGGGGAATTTTAAAAGGAATCAACTGTTAGCATCTGAGAATGGGCCCACAATTAAACACTCGTAGAAAGCGGAGAGGAAACTCTTTAAAGCAGCAGTTGATGGTGCTGGTATTGCTGTAGGAATATCTGTAGGGAGAACCTAAGTGCATAAGCTGGCTGCCCCTCTAGGTAGGTTTTAGGTTTATTTTAAAAATGTGTTGCATGTTGCTGTGCGCTGCATGTGACTGCATACTTGTGTGATACAGTTTTTTCTCCCTGTTTGCCATAGTTTCCAGTCAATTTAACCCATTTGTTGTCAGGTCTGTATGTCATACAGACCTGAAATGGGGGGGCATGTACAGCTGCACTGCTGCCCAACTTGCAATGTATCCCATGCTCCACTTGTGCATCTGTGGACCCTGGACCAGCATAGCGATGCCGCTAGGTACAGGGGAGGGAGCAGAGCAGACACATGTCTGTGTATAAACTGTAATTTCCGGGTCCCCATGTCAGTAATCCCGTTCCGTATGGCTGGAAAAGAATCTAATGCAGTGTGATCTGCACTGCATTAGATTCAGTGGGGGATTGTATGTACTGTATATGCCTAATACAAATACAATTGCTAAAGCAGTTTGGCTATGTGGCGTGCTTACTCTATACATTAAAAACTGATATTTTTTAAACATGTGTGTAAAAAATGTAAAAACATCTCTGGCGAAAAGACTAATCAATGCTGTTTAAAAAAAAAAAAAAAAAAACACAAAGTCAGTAAGGTCTAAAGTGAGAGGCAGAGGTTCTGCATGCATTATTTTTTTTTACTGTATTTAGCATGTATAGATTTATTTTTTTTTTCATGTATGGTTTTTTTTGTCTGTTTGTTTGTTATTGTGAATTGTAAAGCCATCCCTGGTCGGTTGAAACAGACATGAGCAGGGATGGAACTATGGAGTTACTGTTTAAAAGCAAAGTAGGTCCTAGGTCTAAAAAAACACCTTTACAGTATACAAAAAATGAAAAATGGGGTCCTTGGAAAGATAAGTATGCCAGTTCTGGCCTTGCAGAGGTGAGGGCTATAAAGTATCCCACCCAATATTTACAGATTTCAGGGGGTTTTTTTCTTTCTTTTCTTTTATAACAGTTTCAGATTATTTTATCATAAGGCTGTTCCTGTCTTGATCAAGCAAATATGCTAGGCAAAGATGACAAGGCTGCTCAATATAGTTCACAAATATCACCACACTTCTATATACTAACAACCAGCTACAGCACATCCACCTGCTCTGGGTTACCAGATAACTGTACTCCTACAGCCCCTCTTTCAATTACAAATACCCATTGGATTCACTCACTTTCCTGAATGTCATACTTGAATCTCTGAAGTTTTCTAAATGTTTTTGTTACAGCCTGCCAATCATCAGTTCTTCAGGTAATCGCTCATAGCAAACAGTAATTGCCCGTTGCAGTTTTTCCTCTTCTTAGTTCTTTGGTTACTCTAAAGCCCCATAACAGCATAGGTAAACAGGTTTTAAACAGACTGCAAGCAACAACTACTTAATGCAGTCTAATTACCAGAAAGGTAAAAGTATTATTTAAATTAGTAATAACAATTTTACATAAAACCATAAAAATAAAATAAATTATAAATAAAGATTACAGAGTATTAATTCAGAGAAATAGCCAGAAATATTGTACAGACTCACTCCACAGTATGTAAGCACTTTTACAAGACTGTGATTTAGGAGGGAAAAACCAGGTCTAAGAATTAAAAATTAGAATTAAAAATTAGAGTGTACTAATTTACAGAAAAATACAGAAATATTGCACAGATCCAATTCACATTATGTAAGCTACTTTTACAAGCCACAGCTGAAGAGAGAGACTCTATGTAGGTTTTAAATCAAGATTTCAAAATCAAGTGTATTAATTTACTAACAAAAGCAAAAAATAAATAATCGTTCAGTAAATGCAAACTGTTTGAGGTGCTTTAGTAGACCATAGTTTCACAGGGAGACAACAGGAAGGTTTATAATAAAAAACATCCAAATTAGAGTGTTTCTTTCACAGTAAGTAAGTCAGGGTTATTGTACAGACTCCATGCACAGTTTATAAGCATTTTAATGGGAGTCATCAAGCTGGTTTTAATTAAGAGATAAAGAGAAGAGTGCATTATTTAATGAAACATTACACAAAAACTGTAAAGGCTAAATACACTATATGCAAGCAGCTTCAGTAGTCAACAGTTTAGAGGTAGGTGCTAGGCACCTTTTTCACAGAAAAGCACCACACAAAATGCACAATAATGCACAATATATGTCAGCAGTTTTATTTAGTTGTGGTTTAAAAGGGACAGAAAAGGCAGATACTC